ATCTTTAAAATTTACACTTAATCTATTAATAAAGTTTATTGGAGCAAGACTCCGTTGGATATAAAAAAAAAAAAAAAGAGTAATAAGATTCCAAAATGCAATTCTTAATTGTTCCAAAAATCATAAGAATTACTATGGAACACATTTTTAGATTTGATTTTTTCATGTATAATGATAAATCTGATTTTACTTTAGATGATTGTTGTTTCTGTAGAAGTAATGACTATTATTATGAAAAACCTATACGATCATCATCATCAATTTACTTCTCAATCGTCAATTACGAAGCATTTAGGATTGTTAAAAAAACTATTTAAAAGTTATTTACTTTAGGAAAATAATAGAATATATTTTATTTTTGTTATCAGTATATTATTGATATTAATGAATTTTTTTAGATCTTCTATTCTACTTTGATTAATTATTAAATTTGAATTTTCTATTTCTATTCGAAGATATAGTATTATTAAATTACATTGGTTTATAACTTTAAAATCAAATATGTATATTGCGTATTTATTATTTATTTTATTTATCCGAAAATTCTATCATGATTCTTGATCGTGTAAAATTTGAGATCAATTAATTCATATACAATAAATAAATCTGAAATGCACAATTTTTTTTTAAAAAAATAAATATTATTAAACAACCACTTATTTTTAATTAAATATGATCATCCGGACAAAGCACAGATTATGAAAGAAAGGCAATGCCAATAATATCATAAACAAAGCAATAAAATTAAAATTAAAATTCGACCTTAACGAAATCACGAAAATAGAAAAGAAAATGATTACTAATATGAAATTTTCAATAGAAATAGAATGACATATAACAATTGTTGAATATCTCAATTATAAGCAAGCCTATATATAGAGGAAAAGGAATCTTACTTATATATATTTATCACTTTAACAAATTTAAGGATGGTCGAGAAAGAAATTTATAGGTATTCTTAACTTACTATTTATAATAATATTAAATTATTCAAGAGTTAATTTTTGTTGGACTTACTTTATTATTAGACAATGTTTCTTATTCTTTTGTTATTTTTTATTATCCTTTGGATAGAATAATAATTTTACTTAAATAAACTTCATTACTTTCGAAAAATTACACTGTTTTCGTATGAAAATCAACAAAGATAAATGATAATTGGATTATTGAAGATACTGTTCAAAAGGAAAAAAAAATATCACATTTTTTCTATACTTGAAATGGTACTCGTCTCTCAAAACTATTACTCTTAAACAATTAATAAATGAACTGTTTATTCTATTATTTGAATTTACTATTAATATTTTACATTTTAAATTGAAATATAAAATATTTGATTTTTTAAAATAATTATTAAATTTTTTTAATTTTGTTTTTATAGAGAATACGAATAATTATGCGATTATTCTCGAAGAATGATTTTAGCAAAAAAAAAAATGCTAATGATATCGTTCTAGTGCATAGAATTGAAAAAGATTATTTGATTATTTTCAAATTTCTTGCTTTTTATTTTCTTTTCATTTTAGAAAAAATAATTAATTAAAAAAAATAATCAAAAAAATTTATTTAAATTAAATTGTTTAATCTTCATATTGAAGATACATTTCAATAATTTAATAAAAATAAATAAAAAATAAAATAAAAATAAAATAAATAAATAAAGTATTAATAAGGTACTCGTCTGTATCCAAATAATTCTAAAGTGGAATTTTTTAAATTATGAGGTTCATCTTGAGCACCAGGAGAAATGTCAGATGGATCATCTTTAGATTTCCATTGATTGATAATTGAAGGTAATAAAGAAAGTGAGAATATTTTATTCGCAAGAATCAAGTCAATTAATGCTACATCAACGGGTTTTGTTATATTTACAAGATTTTCCAATAATTTTCGTGCACCCCTTAAAGAAACAGCATAAGCATGAGAACAAGCAGGACGATTAGATTTAGAAAGTAAAAGGTCGGATCCATAATTTTTTCCATTATAATAAATTGTATTTGATGTATCCCAAGCACAATTTCCTAAATAAAACATATCCCAATTAATTGGTAAAAATGGTTGAATTTCATTTAAGAAATCTTTGATATTAACTTCAAAGTCTACATCATCTTCTAAAATTAATGCACTTTGATAATTATTTGATACAATTAATTCATAAGTTTTATAATGACTGACATAACATGCTTTGTGTTGTGGTGCTACTCCATATGTTAAATAACGGTCAAGAGTTTCTGTATCCTTGGAGCTAATTGCTTTGACAAAATCAATATCCAAGTCATGAAATTTTGCAATTATATCAATTTTTCCTCGTCTATCAGATCGAGAAGGAAGGTTTATACAATAAATGTGGTCAAAACCTAAAGTCTTTTTGTAAAATCCAAAAGGACGATTATAGATATATAAATAATCGGAAGGTGTAACCCATATAAAAAAACATAGAAAAGTTATTACGGACGATAATAATACAAAATAATTAAATATTTCTCTTTTTTTCATGATGTTTATGATGGACAAAAAAAAAGAGGATTATTTATTTATTTATACTAGTGTTGTTGGAAATTTAATAATTAAAATGATGTAGAATGTAAATTTTGGCTAACCTGTGAAACTTTCACCACATCTCTAGTCAATTGATTAAATGCATGCAAAACGGAATTTATTTTATCCGATAATTTGGTTGTGGCTGTTGCATGTCAACTCGTGCAGATCTGTGCTTATAATTTTTTTTTTTTTGATTAGTAAGGCTTATCATTATTCATTTTGTGTAAAGCTAAATGATATCACAAAAAAAAAAAATAAATACAGATTAAGAATAAAGATTACATAGATAAATCTAAGCTAATTTAACGATTTTACTTATTATAATACCCTAAATAGAAATAAAATGTTTTTTATGTAGGTTTTAGTATAATCAGATGATAAAATAGCAATACTGTTTTAATAAACCAGTGAATGTTAGGCACGCAAATGTCGGAACAAGATAACAATCAAAATTTCAAAAGTTTTGTTTCGAGTAGTTTCTTTCAGTGAGTTCAAATACTTATGTAATATACGTTATGCTATGTAATATATTTAATTTATTTATTAATTAATAAATCATTAATTATTGTAAAATTGTTTCAGACGAAACTGATTCTAAAAAAAAATTTGAAAATACTAACTATAATTCTGAAGATTCAATATAATAAATAACTATTTAAGCATCTGTTGGATGCTGATAATAATGAGAATTCTAGTAGTAACTTTTTTTATTTTGAATACAAGCGAGATTATACAAGATAATTAAAGATTATTCCACCAAAAAATTGATATCACTCCCCAAGAACAAATCCTATCTTTAATCGTTGATTATAGAAGGGAAAATTCAAACATGTGGTTCAATTTGGAAGTTGGTAGATAAATAGAGATACAGTAAATAATTTTAACTATTTATAATAAATTGTATGTGAGTCTCATTTTTTTATGATTAAAATCGATTGCATAACAATAAAGATAATCAAAAAGAGTCTCGAAACTTTCTACCATTCAAAGGCATCGTTGTATAATACTAATACTATTTATAGTTGTGGAAAAGGTGTATAATTTATTTGTGGGTTTTTAATGAGCATAATCTTTTTGTTTTAATTGGCAATTTCCATTTGAAACTTTAAAAGAGTATCCATCACTTCTCCGTGTTATCAATTATCAGATGAAATTATAAGACATAGATCATATTCTTCAATAACTTTAAAATTCCAAATAGGATTTTTTTTTTGTATCTTAAATCACACAGATACTATAATGAGTATGTTATGTGTATTATTGATTGATTATTATTTCGGTAACCATATAAATATTTTTTTAAAATTTACGCCTTATTTTTTTCTTAAAATTTTTATCTACTAGATAAAAAAAAATTGCAACTAAAATTCCCATAGAAATAGTAATTAAAATTTTAATTAATATTCAAACAAATCAAGATTTTTATTCATCATTATTAGTTAATCGATTCTGGTGTAAAGTTACTATACCTATACTTTGGGAATTACCTTTGGATCAAGAATTTAATTTAATTTTAAGAGGTTGACGAAAAAAGCATTATGTATATATCATGTATGGATAATCAAGCTAGAACTTTACTTACTCAAAATGGATTTGATTTATCATTATCACCGCGCCTCAAGCCACTTTTGATTATCCATCATTCACTCATAAATTTGGAGTTGATAACTTGGCTTATTCGATTTTCGAATAACTTATTGGTTCAGATCAAGATAATAACTGTAATAATAATCATAACGAAATCATCATCTCCACCGAATTGAGATTATTATTTCGTGAGATATGCAAATTAATGATAAATCATTGTTCATTTGTGAATTATTTTAAGTTTGGGAGAATTCCCAAAAAATCTTTAGAAAACAATCTAAATTATTGGGATTTAATTGGTTCAATTCTCAAGTTACTTGGTACTCCGAAAGAATTTGAGAAATTACTTCAATTATAGAATTTGAAGATAACCTGAATTATCCATTATATGAATCATTAACATTTTATTTGTTATAATATTCTAACTATGGATTTGAGATTTGCTTTAGGCTGTCAAGTTCAATTATTTACAAAATTTATAAAATTTATAAGTGTCTGAAAATATATCAATTTTTGCTAACAATCATCTAAATTGTAATTCATTATTATGGGCTATCTTTAGTCACAGTCAAAAAGAAACTTTAAAAGTCTTTGTTTAGATTCAATAAGTTTTCATGATTCGAGGAGAAATTATCAACAATTGGACAATTTAATTCACTTAAAGAACTTTATATGGAAGATTTTGAAGAATTATATAATTCAAATTGTTTAATTTTTGCTTCATATTACTCAATTAAGTAGTTTTCATATTATTTATCTGATTTAACAATTAGAAGAGTATTCTCAAGAATTTATTATAAAAATGATCGAAACGGTGAATACAAATTTAAAAAAAAAGTTCATTTAGGCTATATCTCACAATTCCATCCGATATATTTTTAGTAATTTTAAATTAATGTATAAAGATTAACTTTACTAAATTTAAGTCTTGAACAGATAATAGCAACATTTAATAATAATTTTAATGAATTAAGGCAATTTTCATTTATTTATGAAAAAGAATTGGATGCTAATGAATTATTATGTCAAATGGCCAAAAATATACCAGAATCACTTGAAACTATTTGGATTTGAATGGGGATATTTAGTGCAAATAATTTAAGAAAATTTTTTCAAGGGTGGTGTTGTAAAGGAAGAGGAGGAATAAAACGATTACTATAAAACGTACAGTACAAGCTGTACAAGCGCAACTATTTACATTGAGTGATGAACATTTTAAAGTTATTGAAGAATATGGAGTTCAGTTTTATATAGAATAATAATAGCTCATATAAAATTTCAAATAATATTTTTAATAAATCCAAATGAGAAAATATATTTATTTACTTATATTATTTACATATTGCGTTATGTGTTTCATTGTATCATTTATTATTTTTCTATGTTGAATGTAAGAATATTGAAAATAATGAAAATTTTAAAAATATTATGTACTGAAAATTAATGGAATATATCTTTATGCATTTTTATTAGTGAAAAAAATTATTAGCTTTGATATAGTTTTTATATGAATTTTTATTATTTTATAGTTTACATTTATTATATTTATTATTAAAAAATCATCGTTAAACATAAACTCAGCATTAAATTAATTAATGAATGAATGGACTGATTTAATGTTTGAATTAATCATAAATATTTAATTAAAAAAAAAAAGCTGTTATTTTACTTTAAAATATTATTTTAATATTAATGATTACGGAACATTTGATTGATTTAATATCAAATAATTTATTCATATTTAAACGACAACCATGAGTGAAGTTCTTCGTTGCCGTTGCTTAAAGATTTTGTGCTTTATAAAAATTTTGAAATCAAGTAAAACTTGAAAAGAAGAATCCTGCAAAAGTTGTAGTAGATTACAAAGATTTTGACTGAACCCACTGACTAATGAAAATAATAAGTGAAATCGGTTCCTATTAATTTTATAAATTTAAAAGATAATTATAATGATAAAAAAATCATTATAATAACAATTCTTAGCCGTAATAAAAACTGCCAAGTGAATTTCTTTAATTGTATCAGTCCTAAAGCCATTTTTTTAATTTCCTTCTCTCTCAGTATGATTTAATATTTACATACTAGTCGTTCCAGAATAAGAATATCACAAGAACTATCTTATAAAAATCCAACATCCATAAAACAAAGAGATATGCCTATTTTTTTTAATGGTCAAAAAGTTTATTTTTATATATAATTGTGAAAAGTTTCTCCAAATTAAATATCCTTGATACAAAAACTTGTTCATTAAATAAACAGACAGAACAGGCAGAATAATAGTATTTGAAATAGTTAATATAATAATAACAGATAATGATATTACTTATCAATTCTGTCGGGCCGATTATTACATCACCCGATCAAGTTATTAATGGGTATGCTTCGAACTGATATAGTTTTTATTGATTCATTTATTTAAATCGTCAATATAAAACTAGTTTAATTTAATAAGTAATGATTTGACAAGATGAAACATAAAGCAACAATTCAAAAGTAAGTTTAATTCCTAATATATTAATGTTTCTGAATGATTTATAGTCAATGATTTGTATTGTTGAAGTTTTATATCTACATTAAAAAATTAGATTAAAAATAATATTATAATAAAAGTATAATAATAAAAATACAAATAAATATATATAACAGCTTGGATCTTGATTTTATATAAACATCCGTATCTCTTACAACTAATAGATCAGATTCGAAATTTTTGATAATTTTTTGGATAGACAAGCTGTTACCATAATTGATTATAATCAAAACTGTAATACAGAAATCATGTGGCCTGATTTGTCTCACCTGTAAATTACGATCAACGTACAATTTACCATTAAAGGTAAGACGATTTCCTAATTTGGTATATATTTAGACTTAAGTAATTTAGATGAGTCATATGTATAGATTCTGCAGTACAACTGAAAATCCAACTATACAATAACTAAATTTCTTATCACAATTATAATCATTATTTGAACATGGTCATATGAAATAATTGTTACTAAGTTCCTTACTGAACATAAAACTTTACAACCATTAATTAGATATAATGGCAGACTCATCCTGGTCACTAAGTTCTAACTTCTCTCTTATACATAACCCTTCTTCCGTATGGTCCTACGGCACAAAGCCTGCTGGTTATCAAACAACTGGAATATTTAACTTACTTACGAACCAAGTTCAGGACTCAAATGGAACTGGAATAGTCGCTTGGTTTCCGGAAGATGCCTCAATCGGTAGCTCCTGGTTAGGTGTCTTTTATAACCCCAATCCAACAACTACTACCCTGGGTTGGGATGCCAGTAATAAAATATTTCCTGCTAAAAGTGTATGCATGCATCCCAGCTCTCGTGGTGTTTTCTCTGTGGCAAGATTTACTGCACCGACAAATGGGAACTATAGCCTAGACGTGACGTTCGCACATGTCGATGACAAAGCAACTACTATACATACAGGAGCTTATATAGTTTATAATAACCTTGAGATGCTTTGGGAGACAGATTTAGTCGGCATCGGAGACTCAGATTCGTTCAAGTCAATTGATAGTGGATTTGCTGTAAGGGAAAATGAGACAATCGATTTCATTGTAGGTGTTGGCTCAGATGCTACATTCGTAAATGATATGACTCTCGCTCGTGTGGATATTCGTTTATTGGTTGCAACTTCAACAACTGAAATCCTCCCGAAAAACACAAATCCAACAAATTCAATGACTGGAATCCTCCCGACTCCAACAAATTCAAATGGAAATCAAAGTTCAATAAAAGTTGGAATTATTATCGGATCACTCGGAGTTTCATTGAGTCTCATTATGGCTGTTATTCTGGTATATTTCTACTACAAATATCGCAAGAATATGGAATATCAACAAAGAAATATGGTCACATCTGGAACTGATCAAGAGGTCATTGAAAGATAATTTCTTTTGTTTACTTATTTTTTTACCTTTTTATAAAAAATTCAAGTGGAGAATTATTTTTATTCATGAGAAGGATCATAGCCTTATATATGTACATATATTCCATTATTAACCAATATACAAAGTAATAATATATATCAAGTTATATTAATTTTGATCGGGCAAGTATTAGTTTAGCATTAATTATAATTACATTAATAATAAATATTCTACTTTTATATAATTCAGTTTATATATGGATTTAACCGATTAATATTCACACAAAAATAATCCAATATTATCTTGAGAATAAATTTGATAAAATCTGATAAGTCCTATTATTAGTGAAAATAACAAGGCTAAACACGCTAAAATGAATATGTACGCTAAATCGTTACATATTGTCTCAATATTGCTACTATCTTTGATAAAAAAGAATATATCTTTACCTGAACCTATTAATAATAGACATGATTATCCCGATAATTGGGAATACTGATCGGCCAACTTCTAAAGAATTGGAATCTCAATTTAAGCAATATTCTGATAATTATAATATAGCGAGCTATACTTGATAAACAGATTGGCAAGGCTAATGAGGCCAATAAGTTAAATACGAATTTCATTTGATATTATTTAAAATAATACATCATCAAAAATCAAAATATACATGTTAAGTATATTTTTTAATTTTTACTCTATAAAATATTAACATAAGTCATTAACGTCAATGTCAAAATTGTATGACTATTACATTTATTACATTTGCAGTCAAATTCTCTCTATTATATATATTAAATATACATAATATCTTCAATGAAAGAAATGTCGATAACTTTAATGTTTTTTTCGCTTGTAATGTAATTATAACAGGCAAAAATAAAATAATTAAAGAAATCCTGAAAAAAAAGTACTAACGGGTTACAATTGATTTACGTTATTCTCTATACGCAGACTACAATGTTTTTGATTATTAAATGGTTAGACAACTTTATTAATAAACTTTATTATTCAAATTCTATTTTCTCACAATCATTACAAACTGTCTCTCTCGGTCAAATTCTCTTACTTATAAAGCAGCTGAAAGTTTAGGAGTCAACTATTGTCAAATTTTTTTTTTTAGTGCGTAAGGTCAACAATCGAATTATGGAGGTGATTATGAATATGCTTTCATTTAACTTGAAGAAATGAAATCACAAAATGTGTTATCTCCTTCTGTTTATGAAAATATCATTAAAAGTAAGTTAACATTTTCTTTTAAATATTGTAGTTATCTTCATTTTTTAGTTAGTTTTTATATATATACAGTATGTCAAGGAATAACAAATGAACAGTTTAATGTTTGCCATAGGAACCATCAATACACCAAATAATACATTTTATTCATTATTTTAAGTGTACAATATTTCCTTCAATTGTGTTGTGTTAATATCATCGAGAAATATTATCATTATTTATAAGAATTTCAAATTTATACTTTTATCAAAAGCTGATTAAATGGAAATAGATAAAATTTCTCAATAAATAATAATAATTATAAAAAGTACCAACCTAATCAAGGAGAAACAAATATAGTAATTAATATTATATAATTATATTGTATTTTATTATTTTATTTAAATTAGACTTAATTTGTGTTATATTTTAATATTATCTTATAGTATTATATACTTGTAAATAATTATTTGCGTAAATAATTAATTAGAGTGAGTCTATAAAGAATATCGGGTTTATTTTGATGAAAGAAAGATAATAGGTAGGTATTTGATTTGCGGATAGGTTACATGATTGATAGCATAGTTTAATTTGTATATTAACGAAGTAAAGCTTTAATTAAACTAAGTAATGGTTTAATTTTGATAAAACAATATGCTATAGATTATATTTATGAAATTTTATTATATTTACTATATTTGAAGCCATCTAATGAAATATAATTAATTTGAACGATGTTTCTATGTTAATTTACACAAGTAATACACCAGATTCGAAAGTTTTGCCAATTTTTTTGGATAGACAAGCTGCCATAATTGAAGTTTCCTATTATCGAAACTTGTAATGCAATATGTAATAGCAGATCTTAATACTATTTAGGTAAGTCAATTTCCTAATCTGGCATATGTTTAGCCTTAAATGGCCACATGTAATTTTTAGATGAGTCAAATCAGCCATATCAATTGAATTTTCTAAGCGCTGTTACGGAAATAAATATCTTAATAACTAAATTTCTTTATTTGAACATGGTCATACAAGATAATCATCAATATTTAAATAGACAAACATGCTGAACGCAATATTTGCAACCATTAGATATAATGGTGAGCTCGTTCTAGTCACTAAGTTCTAACTTCTCTCTTATACATAGCCCTTCTTCCGTATAGTCCTACGGTTCAAAGCCTGCTGGTTATCATATAACTGGAACATTTAGCTTACTTAAGAACCTAGTTAAGGACTCAAAAGAATTTGGCATAATCACCCGGCCTCCGGAAGGAGCCTCATTCGGTAGCTCATGGTTAGGTGTCTTTTATAACCCTTTCCAGAAACTACTACCCTGATTTGGTACAATAATAAGACATTTACTCATAAAGGTGTATGCATGTATCTCAACATAGATGCTATATTCTCTGTAGTAAGATTCACAGCACCGATGAATGGGAATTATAGCCTAGACGTGACGTTCACACACGTTGATGATAATGCAACTACTCGACATACAGGAGTTTATATAGTTTATAATAACCTTGAGACTCTTTGGGAGAAAGATTTAGTCGGCATTGGGTATTCAGTCAATTGACAGCGGGGTTGCCGTAAGACCATCGATTTCATTAGCCGTTGCCTCGGATAATTTGTTCAATAACAAAATGACTCTTGTCCGTGTGGATATTCGTTTATTGGGCACAAATTCAACGACTGAATCCTCAATAAACACGAATCCAGCAAATTCAACGTATGGGAATAAAGTGGGAATTATTATTGGAACACTCGGAGCTTCATTGACTGTTATTCTGGTTTATGCCTATTACAAATAAAGAATATCAGTAAAGAAATCCATTCACACTTGGGACTGATCAAGAGGTTATTAGAAGTTAGTTTTTTTATTTACTTATTTTTTTTTATTTTTTTATGAAAATTCAAGACAAAATTTTAGAGAATTATTTATTCATGAAAAGGATCATAAACTCATATACATATATTCCATTATCGAAATTGTTCCAATATACAAAGTAATAATAATATATCAAGATAGATTTATTTGATTGGGCATTAATTATAATTACACTGTTAATAGTATTTATTTTTATATAATTCAGTTTACATATAATTCAGTTTATATACAGATTTAACAGATTAACATAATAGCGAATTCGCACAAAAATGAGCCAATATTTCTCGAGAATAAAATTTGATAAAATCTGATAAGTCCAATTATTAGCGAAGTTAACAAAGCTGAAACATACTACAATGAGTATATACTATGAATCGTCACATCTTGTCTCAATATTACTACTTTCTTTGATAAAAAAGAATATATCTTTACCTTGTACATGTTATGATAATCCCGATAAGCATTAGACTTGGTTTGATACCGATTCTTTCAATCGTCCAACTGCTAAAGGATTGGAATCTCGACTTAAACTATAAACTGATAATTGTAATATAGTGAGCTAATAAGTTAAGTAAGAATTTCATCCGATGTGAACCAAAATAGTATATCCTCAAGCAATATACGCAAATAGACATTTGCCTTTCTAAAATCAACGTGAGTTGAAACTATTATACATGGTAAGTATATTTTTTGATTTATTTTTATAAAATATTAGCGCAAGTTGTTAACATTGATGTCAGAAATTGTATGACTATTACATTTATAGTCAAATGCTCTAAATTATATATGTTCAATATCTTTAAAATGTCGATAACTTTAGTGGTTTTTTCATAATGTAATTATCACAAAGAATATCAGACAAATAAAATGATTAAAGAAAACCCGGAAAAAGTTTTAAACGGGTTATAATTGATTTACGTAGTTATTTATACACAAACTATAATGTTTTTTGATTGTTAAATGGTTAGACAACTTATCTAGAAACTTTATTATTTAAATTTTATTATCACATAACTGATAATTATAACAAATTTTGTCTAATTTCCTGAATATTTCTAATAAAATATTGCACTAATAAAAAGAAGAAATGTTCAATATTTAAACAAAAATATTTGATTTATATTACAAAAAAAAATTTACACATGTAATTTCATTAATTATTTGTTTTACTTGATAAAATGAATCTTCATTCGGTGACAATTTGCCAAAATTACATACTCTATTAGAAAGTTAACTCTTAATATAGAATTTTTTTAATGAATATGGTCCAGATTGTTCTGGATAGTCATGTCCTTATTCTTTCCTTTTCTCATGTCTTTCATAAATACTTTAGAACTATTATTAATATGATAGAAATATTTAAATGAAAGTAAATTGTAATTAATATTATAAAAAAAATGAATCAAAAAAGAGTGCTTAACAAAAATATTTCTTAAATATTTTCCATTTTGAGTTCTAATAAAATCATTGTTATTATTTAAATATTTATAAATTTTTTATTTGCTTTAATTTATTTATCCCTTATGTTAGATACTACATAATAGGAATGATGTATAGACCATTATCAATTTTAATATAGAATATTACATAATAATCAAGTAAATAATAAACAATCATAAAGTTTATGGAATTAAAAAATTTTACATCAAATTGAATTTCATATATGATGTACGTTTATTTTTTTCACACAGATCAGATGAGTATGCTGTGCGCATTATTTCGGTTGCATCAATAAATATTATATAAATGTCATACGATTGTTTTTTTTATCCATATTCTTAAAATAATATTTCGATGGGAATTTTAGTTGCTTTTCTTTGTCTAGGAGATAAAAAATTTTAAGTTTTAAATCATGTGCAAACGACTCAAGATTTATATTTATCATTGTTAGTTAATCGAATCTGGTGTAAAGTTCTATAGCTATACTTTGGGAATTACCTTTGGTTCAAGACTTTTTCTGGAAAAATTATAAGTAGAATTGGAAGAAAGCATTGTGTATCAGAACTTATATGTCATGTAAGGATAAGCAAGCTAGAACTTTACTTACTCAAAATGGATTGGATTTGTAACCATAACCGCCTCAAACTACTTTTGATTATCCATCATTCATTCGTGAATTAATTTAGATTATTTTTTTCAAATTCACAAAAATCGTCAACACCGAATCGATCATTTCATGAGATATTCAAATTAATAATAAATCGCTGTTCATTTCTGAATTATTTTAAATTGGCGGCAGTTCCCTACAATTATTATAAAAGCAATCGAAATTATAACGATTTAATTTGTTCAATTCTCAAGTTATCTGATGTCCAGAAAGTATTCAAGAAATTAGAAAGTATTACTTCGATGATAAGAAATGATGTATCCATTATATGAATCACTAACATTAATTTGTGATAACATTTTAAATATGGATTTGAGTTTTACTTCAATTTCTCAATCTCAATTATTATTATCAACAAAATTTATCAGTGTCCAAAAACGTTTAGAATATATATAAATTCTTGGTAACGGTGTTATACCATATAATTCATTATGGCCCATCATCAGTCAAAAAGAAACATTAAAGTGTCTTCGTTTAAATTCAGTAAATTTTTATTGTTTCGAGAGGAAATCTTCACCAATTAGACAATTTACTTCACTTCGAGAACTTTATATGGAAGATTGTGAAGAATTATCTAATTTGGATTGTTTAATTTTTGCTTCATTGTTTACACAATTAAGTAGTTTAATCACAGTTATCTGATTAATCCATTAGAAAAGTATTCTCAAGAATTTATTATTAAAATTCTCGAAACGTCGAATACAAATTTAAAAAAATGTTAGTCTAGTTAATATCTCACAATTCCATCCGATATATTTTCAGCAATTTTAAATCATTTTACAAAGATTACCGAATTAACTTTACTGAATTTAAGTCTTGAACAAATAATAGCAGTATTTAATAATAATTTTAATGAATTAAGAAGTTTTTAATTTGATTATAAAAAAGGATTGGATTCTAATGAATTATTATGTTAAATGCCGAAAATGGACCAGAATCACTTGAAACTATTTGGATTAGAATGGGATATTTAGTGCAAATAATTTAAGAAAATTTTTTCAAGGGTGGTATTGTAAAGGAAGAGGAGGGGAGGAATAAAACGATTACTATAAAACCTACAGTACAAGCTGTACAAGCGAAACTATTTACATTGATGGTGAGTATTTTAAAGTTATTGAAGAATATGGAGTTCAGTTTTATATAGAATAATAATAGCCCCAAATAATATTTCAAATAATATTTTAATAAATCCAAATGCGAAAATATATTTATTTAGCTATATTTTATCTACATATTGAGATGTGTTTCATTGTATCAATTATTATTTTTCTATGTTGAATATAAGAATATTGAAAATAATGAAAATTTTAAAAATATTATGTACTAAAATTAACGGAATATATCTTTATGCATTTTTTCGATAATAGTCTTTTTAGTGAAAAATTATTAGCATTGATATTGTTTTTATATGAAATTTTATTATTTTATAGTTTATATTTATAATTAAAAAAATCATCGTTAAACATAAAATCAACATTAAATTAATTAATGAATGAATGGACTGATTTAATGTTTAAGTTAATCATAAATATTTAATTAAAAAAAAAGCTGTTATTTTACTCTAAAATATTATTTTAATGATTATGGAGTATTTGCTTGATTTCAATATCATGTATTCGTTGCCGTTGCTTAAAGATTTTGTGCTTTATAAAATTTTGAAATCAGAAGTAAAATATAAAAAGAAGAATCTTGCAAAATTTGTACTGAACCCACAGAACTAATGAAAATAGTAAGTGAAATCAGTTCTTGTTAATTTTATAAATTTGAAAGATAATTACAACGATAGAGAAATAATTATAATAACAATTATTAACCATCAATAAAAACTGCCAAGTGAATTTCCATTTTTTTCTATTTCCCTTTCTCTCAGTATGATTTAATATCAAATATTCCCGATACAAAAATTTGTTAAAAAAATTTTTATTAAATAACAGACGTCAATTATAAATTTATATTTTTTATTACATAATTATATTTTTTTTTTATTATTATATAATATTATTTTTATATAGATTTTTTTATTGTAGATATGAAAAATATAAAACTTCGACAAAACTAATCATTGAACTATAAAACATTCAGAAACATTAATAGATTAGGAATTAAACCTAGTTCTGAATTTTTACTTTATGTTTCATCTTGTTATTAAATTTGATTATTAAAATTTGAGTTTATCATTACTGATTAAATTAAGCTAATTTAATATTGATTATTTAAATAAAATAAATAAATCAATATTAGTTCGGAGCATATCCATTAATATCTTGACGGGTGATGTCCTGATAGAATTGATTCATTGTCGCTATTATTATATTAACTCGTTCATTACTTATTATTATATTATTTATTTATTATTGAAGAATTTACAATAACGGGTAATGGTGGATCATTTTTAACCATAGGATTATTCAAATACTATTAGATTAAGTACATTCATTTTTTAAATTTCTAAATTAATTTAAAAATTATCCAAGCTTGGATCTTTAATTTTTATATAAACATCCGAATCTTTCTTTCAAGAGATGGTGATTTTATTGCTTTTTAAGAATTGACCTTATTATAAATAATATTATTCACATCTTCACTTCCCTTAAATTCAATAATACAATTATTATAACCGATTCTCAATAAAAATTGCTGTAATTAGTGCATCAGATTCGAAAGTTTTGATAATATTTTTGGATAGAAAAGCTGAGGTTTCTTATGTATTCCGGTCTTTTTAGAAATCATTAATCAACTTTAGATTTACAGTACATTATACAGTATTTTTTTTACATTTCTGTAATACACATACAAATTTGTTATCTGTGATACACTGACTATGATTATCTGTGATACACTGACTTGATTATCTGTGATACAAATTACTAACTATACAAATATCACAATCTTTATTTGAAAAGGGTCGTACACTATTATGGAGAATATACTATGACCCATTATTAACTCAAATTCAAAAGCAAGCAGAGGGCTATTACATGGAGGAATTAAAATATGGTGATATGAGAATACAGGAGAAAAGGATTTTTAAATACAAAATAAACTCACT